GAGATCTTAAACAAACTTTCACAACGAATTTTGGCCGCAAAATGGGGTTGAAATTGAGATGTGTGGCAGCAAAACGAGAGAGCGACGGGTTTGGAGAAGAGAGAGTTGGCTGGGAGATATAGGTTTGGGGGAGAAGGGTTTCAGTTGGTTTATATAGGGGACGGGACCCAGAACATGTTGTCAGGGTTGGCAACCCCGACTATTATGTCCATTAGCCAATTTCCCACTACTGTAACTTGGGAGTGACCATTCTCTGCTAAATGGTCGGGGTTCCTAACCTCGACCATTGCGAATTAGACATTTTTAAATGGTCAGGGTTCCCAACCCCGATCATTTATGAGATGGCTAAATTAGTCGGGGTTTCGAATCCCGACTAATTTAGCTACCAAATTGCAGCAAGGTAACAGGCGATCTCCTAATTAGTTGGGGTTGGCAACCCCGACTAATTAGGAACATGATTCAAAAAAATCGACCCACTTTCTGATCACAATGCTTACGTGGCGAGAAAGTGGGTCGATTTTCATAATAAAGTTTAGAGTGGGTCGAAATTTGGGAATAAAATTGGGAATGAATTTAATTTGAAATTTTCTTAAGTTTTATGTTAGGGCTGGGGTGATTATCATTTAATTATGGTATAGTATTATTAGGGCTTGATTATTTAGGATAACTAGGGTTTGGGTGATTATCATTTTATCAAATTATAACAACAAAATTAGAGAGATAAAAACTAAAATCGAAGTATACCTTGAAAAGGGGAAGGAGAAGGAAGAGTTGGTTGTCGGCAATGGTGGCTATGATGGCCTCAAGGTCGATGGCGAGGCAGAGCGGGAAAGCGGGCGAGGCGAGGCGGGAAAGAGCATATGGCGGCGCTGAGATCTGGAGTGATGGGGAGCTTCACTAGCGAGATGAGCGGGCAAGCGCAGCGAGCAAGTGAGGCGAGTGAGGCATGGTAGACAGCGGTGGCGCACTGAGGTCTATGAGCGATGCGATGTTTCGAGGGCGAGGCGGGTGGGCGGGCACGGCCGAGCAAAGTGCCCAAGGAGGGTCAACGATGTTGGGTAGGTTGGGCACGGGTGCGACAAATGGTGGCATGGCAAGGGTCGGGGTAAGGCGTTTGCGGAAGGCGTCGGGTAGGGTTTCGAGAGGCTCTGAGAGGGCGTGAAGATTTGGGCGACACAAAGGCGGCGGGTTTGAATAGATCTAGGCAAGGGCTAGGGGTTTTTTCTGTTTTCAAGTGTGGGCCCCATCATTAGTGACGGGGTGCCCGTCGCCGCTTATTGGCGACGGAAGTCATTGGCGACGGGCTATTGACGAGGGATCAATTGCCCGTCATCGCCAACATTGGCGATGATTCTCTGACCCGTCACCAATATCCTATCACCTTTAAGCTACTTTTTATAATTATTTTTTTATCGGGAAATGAGGATGGTAATTTATGCTTTGCTTCATTGCAAGGAACAAACAAAATTGAAAGCATGAAGCTAAGAGAAGGTGGCTATGCGGCTGCTAGGTCATTAGCCATGGAGTCATAAACAAAGATTTGCAGCCTCATTTTTTTTAATGGAATTCAATTCCCTTAACCTAAAGCACCATTATTTAAACTAATTAAACTCTCTTGTTTGAATGTAGGTGGTTGTAGTAGTTGCAAGTAATAAACAGGAACCTAACTCCTTTCTCAAAACAAGTGCTCCCTTCGCCGATGCCCCATCCTCCTCTATCGGAAACACTGCTTTTTTTTAAATGAAACCTTCCGGTTTGTTGCGATAACTTCACCAAAATTTCTGATTTATAAGTTTCTTTAGTTCCAAAATCATTTATGAGTGTGAACATGGTTGGAAAAAGAAATAAAAGGTTTTGTTGTTATTATTGTCGTAATTATTTGTACAGAATAGTATCTAGTGAATAATGAATTATTATTTTTTGGATATATCGTGTTCTTGCGTTGAGGAAAATGAAGAATGACAACGAATATCTCCATTCCTGTCATACATGGTAAGATGTTGTTATTCATGTATCTTTTATAATGAAGAAAACAATTTTGTTTACACAATTATGAGTATTGTTGTTTTATAATTTATTGGCTTTTGCGACATTTGTCATTCCTTTGATTGGATATATATATTTTATGATCTTAACTTCCATTGTGCTATAGTTATAAAAAGCTTTTATTCATTTTTACAGACACAAAACATGCTCGTACATCTTGTTGATCTTCAAAGGAAGGTATGATGGAAAGATATAAGAAATAGATTGTAAGTAGTAAGTTCATTTTATTTGAAGTCTCCATACAAAAGTAGGCTTTTGAATATTTTCTTGTTTTAAAGTATTTCCTCTTGGTTGACTGAAGCAATTATTTCATGAGGCTGGGAGTATAAGGAAATGGGTAATGTTGTCTTTTTCACATCCATTTAATCATAGCCTAGTATCAATTGTGATCTTCATAAAAAACTTAAATTACCTGGTAAGGAGATAGTACACATGTTCATGACAAAGTATTTTGCACAAAAAATGCTACTTAATCTCATATAAGATTTCAACCAACATTAACATAATCTTAATTCCTTGCCTTTTTATGTGCTCGAGCTAGTGTTAATATGATTTGTTTGTCTGTCTTTCACATTCACATTATTCTTTTTGACTTTGTTTATATTTGTAGGTGTTCGAATTGAAGAGAGAAAAAGTTATACGGCTCTGTAACAGAGCGCACAAGCTGACATTCATCTTGACGATCTTGATTTGAAGAGCTCATCAAAAAAGCCTTTGAATCAAATGTAACAGCTTTCTCTAGTACTGGATAAATTCAGGATTTGACATTGGATTGCATGACCCTGAAGGATAAGAGAGCTAGGGACAAAGTTTTAAGACAATATGTTTGCCAAAATGAGTAAAGTACAGCAAGAATTAAATGTAATGAGTTCCCTTCGCTTCATTTTTCTTCTTAAGTCTTGTTTGTCTTTTGATAATTAGGTTGCTTATGTTAAGTCTTTGTTATTTGTGTAGAGATTCGATGTCGTTGTTGTTTGGCTCAGGTCACCTGCTCATTTCAGCCTTTGTTTTCTCAGATTTACACCACCAGGACAAAAGGGGAGCTAGCAACGGTTCTTTCCTTCTATCACTCACAAATGGTGAAGGGACCGTAGAGAGCGATGGACGGAATGGACACGAAGAAGAGGGAGAGGATCGCACAAAGCTAAAGCTCGGGTTTTTCTTCTCTCTTCCACGAAAGAACAAAGACAACGGTGTTTTATAAAGAGGGCAGCCGACATAGGGTTAAGTAGCAGAGAGGGTGTAATGTTCAGAGGTTGGTAAGGGTAACTAAAAGGGCACTGGGCCTTTTTTAGTAACGGTCCATCAACAGGCCTATGAGCCAACTAATATCAACAATCTCCACCTTTGGCCCAAGGTAGTGCACTGAGAAAAAACACGGAGCCGTAGGACTCATCATCGCTAAACCATTACCTGTATGATCACAAAGAAGACACAAGCAATGGAAGAGAATACACAAAGTAAACTCAGATCACAAAGATCGGGGTAAGATCACCAAGCATACAAAGTCCACAGAGGACCGAACTCTACCAAACGGTCATCAAGTTCAAAGGGAAAATCACAAGCACAAAGCAAGTTAATAGGCCACAAAGGCAACACACAGAGCAAAAGAAAATTACCCAATGTCAAAATTTAAGATTCTTTGACACGAAATAAATTTTTCAGCAGACAAACACTTAGTACCCATGTCAGCCGGATTAAATTCTGAGGGAATTTTCTCGAACTTGACAATACCCTTTTTAACTATATCCCGACTATAATGAAATCTAACATCAATATGTTTAGTTCTATCATGAAAACAGGATTTTTTGGAAAGTTGAATAGAAGATTGACTATCAAAAAATACAACCACATTTTTATCAAGAAAACCAATTTCAGATATAAGGCTCCTAAGCCAAATAGCTTCTTTAAAAGCTTCAGTGGCAACAACATACTCAGATTCAATAGTAGATAAAGCAACAATGAGTTGTAGTTGGGATTTCCAACTTATGCAAGAGCCACACAAAGTAAATACATAGGAAGTGGTAGTTTTTCTATTATCTCTATCATTTGCATAATTGGAATCTACATAGCCAACTAGTTTAACACCTTCAGAACACTTAGAGAAGGTTAATCCTATATCCACAGAGGATTTTAAATATCTTAAAAGCAATTTTAAGGCATTCCAATGAGGCATACCAGGATTGACATATATCTACTCAAGTAACTAACCGCATATGCAATGTCAAGCCTAGTACTAACCATGAGGTACATGACCGATCCTATAGCATTTGAATATGGTACCTACTTTATATCATTGATTTCAATTTTAGTCTTGGGGGATTGATCCTTACTTACACAAAATGGGAAACAAGAGGCACATTCACAGATTTGGCATCAGATAGCGAATTTACTCAAAAAAATTTTAACATATGAACTTTGGTTTAAAACTAGAGTAGATTTATTTTTGTCCCTAATAATATTCATGCCTAGAATTCTTTTTTGCATTGCCTAAGTCTTTCATGTAAAATTTTTCACAAAGACATTTTTGAACATGCTCAATAGACTTCAAACAAGGATTAATAATCAACATGTCATTCACATAAATTAAGAGAAATACAGGCACAAAGTCTATATTCTTTTAATACAAGTAATGATCAGCAAAACTCCTTTTAAACTTTAAAGATTGTATGCATTTATCAAATCAAATATTCCATTGCCTAGGTGATTGTTTTAAACCATACAAAGCTTTTTTTTAACAAACACACATAATCAGGCAATTTAGGGTCCACAAAACCCTCAGGTTGGTGCATATAAATATTTTTATCAAGATCACCATGCAAGAAACACTACTAGAAAATAGAGTTTTGCCTACGGAACTATAGCGGCAGAAATTTCCATCGCTATAACATAACATATAGCGACGGAAATTTTCGTTGCTATAGTTCCGTAGTTACATCTATTTGTTTTAATTCCTAATTAAGATGAGCAACTAAAGCAAAGATAATTCTAATAGTAGTGAATTTGACAACAGGAGCAAAAATTTCAGCATAATCAATTCCCTCCTTTTGAGTAAATCCCTTAGCTACTAGCCTAGCCTTAAACCTAACACTTTCAGATTCTTGTTTCACCTTAAACAACCACTTACAGTCCACTACAGAACAACTAGCAGGTTTAGGAACAAGTTTCCATGTTTGGTTAATTCTTAGGGATTCCATCTCACTCTTCATAGCACTAATCCATTCTTCAGAATATTTTGACCTTAATGCTTCTCTATAAGTCTTAGGTTCATTGCTGCATCCAAGGGATTCAAACACATTAAAGGCAAACTCAGACATATTACAATCAGTCAAATTGTAATCTCTATACCTTTCAGGTTTCCTAATGGTTCTTTTATTTCTATCCCTAGTGAATTGATAATCATTCAAATCATGCATGTTATCTATTTCCTTCATATCATGCTCCACCACAATAGGAATAATCTTATCTTGATTTTCAATAAATATATTATTTAATTTCTCTTTAGGAGGTGATTCAGGTTAATTAATAATAGGTATTTGCTCCACCTCATTTGGAGCATCATTTTCAGGAATAGGGACATGTAAAGATAAACAAGGAAATTCATTTTTATTAAAGACAACATCTCTATTTATCACTACCTTAAACCCCGGTTCACTCTTATTCCAAAGCCTATAACCTTTTACCCCTTCAGGGTATCCTAGGAAAACATATTTCTTAGATCTAGGTTCTAACTTATCAATCCTTTGATGTACATAGCCAACACACCTGAAAAATTCTCAAATTATTTAAATCAAGGGGTTTGCCCGTGAACAAAAATTCAGGACATTTCCCTCCTAAGGGAATAGAAGGAGACCTATTAATTAAATAGGACGCAGTACAAACAGCTTCTCCTCAGAACTTCTTAGAGAGCCCAGATGTGGCCAACATAGCTCTCAGCCCCCTCTAAGAGAGTTTTATTCATCCCTTCAGCAACCCCATTTTGTTGGGGTGTGTAGAGAATAGATTTATGTCTTTTAATACCGTAAGTAGTACACAAATCATTCAATTGTTTATTACAAAACTCAAGACCATTGTCCGTCCTAAGAGTTTTAATTTTCTTTCATGTTTTGTTTTCAATCATAATTTTCCAGTTTTTAAATTTATCAAAAACTTCAGATTTTTGTTTCATGAATAAAACTCAAACTTTCCTAGAATAATCATCAATTATGGAAAGAAAATATTGGTTTCCTCCATGTGTAGGCATACTAGAGGGACCCCACACATCAGCATGCAAATATTCAAGTACATCAGTGCACTTAGACTGATTAGGAAAAGAAGAAATAGGAAAACTAACCCTATGTTGTTTTCCTAGTACACAAGATTCACAGAAAGGGATGGAGGATATTTTATCACTACCATAGTGACCTCCTTTATACAAAATTTCTAATCCTTCATTACCTATGTGACCTAATCTATTATGCCATAAAATGGATTTATCACCTATCACGGAGTTAACAGAATCAAGCACAGGTTCAGCATGACAAACATATAAGTTATTTTGTTTTTCAGCAGTAAAAATAACAAGAGACCCTTTTAGAATTTTCATAACCCCTTTACCCCCATCTTCCCTCCAAACCATCATTTTCTAGAGATACACAAGAAATCAAGTTATAACGTAAATCAGGAACATACCTAACATCCTTCAAAGTAAACACAGAACCAAAAGAAAACCTAAGGCATACATCACCAGTTCCTAAAACATTGCATTTCTTTTCATTTTCCATTGACACAAAACCATTCTCTATTTTCTTGTAGTTTGAAAACAAGTTTTTAAAAGGAGTCATATAAAAAGTACAACTAGAGTCTATACTAACAATTCTGATTTATACAAAGAATCAGATAACATAGAGTTCAAATATGCATAATCACAAAGATTATTAATCATGAAAATTTCACCCATTTTGCCCTCACAGACATCCATATTAGCATGATCATTTTGCTGATTTTTCTTAGGCTTAGGACAATCTTTAATAAAGTGACAAGTTTCATGATAATTATAGCATTTTTTACTTTAAACCTGGACTTAGATCTACCCCTTCTATTTTCAAATTTTTTCTTACTTGATTCCCCATTACTAGTATTCTTTTAGTTATTAGACCTATTCTGAGGTCTACCCCTCACATGCATAACCTCACTAGAATTTTTATTTTCCCCAAAATATTTTAAATCTAATTCCTTACTTTTAAGACCATTGACCATAATGTCAAGGGTAATCTCATCTCTAGAATATTTAATAATAGATTTCACATCACTATTTGAGTCAGGAATAGCATTTAGAAGGGCAATAGGAGTATAGTCGTCTATATGTTTATCACGAGTTAACTAAATATCTGAAATAAGTTTTGTGAAAACATCTAGGTTCTCCTCAATGTCCTTAGACATATCCAATCTAAATTTGAAAAATTTTTCAAGAAAAAACATTTTGCTAGGCAAAGAGGTTTTAGTATAGAGTTCTTCAAGTTTATCCCAAAGGATTTTAGCAGATTTCAAAATTCTAACTTTTCTAAGCATAGAGTCATATAAGTTCAAATAAATTGTGGAACAAGTATTTTTATTTATTTCAGCCCTTTTTTCTTCAGTGTCAGAAGTCAAATAAGTCTGACCAACAACCCTAAATGACTTCTGTTGAATTAAAATGCATTTTATTTTTTGTTTCCAAATGCTAAAATCAGATTTTCTGTTGAACAGAACCTTACCATATTGAACCATACCATATTGATTAGCAGCAGACATTCTTCACACAGAAAAACAAATAGCAACTTGTTCGAACAAATCTTATTTCGGTAATTATCCGGCTCGAAACATGTGAAGTAACTAACACGAAAATGAGAAGAACGATGAACACAAAGTTCTTATTTAAATCTCTTTGTTCTTTCACACGAGCACAAACAATAACTGAAAGGTTTTTCAAAAACATAAAATACAAAATATAGCTGGAAAAAATTTCAAAATTTATCAGGCTCAAAGTGTACGAAGAAACTAGCATGAATAAAATGGGAATAACGATGAGCACGAAGCTCGGGTTCAAACCCTTCGTTCTTTCGCATGAGCACAAACAAATTTCAACTTCAGCAGTTAAACACAACGAAATTAAACCAAGTATTTAAACACAGTGAAAAGAAAATATTGATAACCACAACCACTGAATACTATAAGGTTTTCTGTCAATATACCTGAGCGAAACCATAGGAGAGGGTTTTGACCTTACCAACTTGCTTAGCAGTCCGACGGTGGTCCAGCGGCAATCTGATTTTGGTAGTCCGACGGCGGTCCAGCGGCTTGAACGACGACGACTCAACGAGGCCCTGTGGCGGCGATCGGCATTTTTGATCGGTGATGACTCAACGAGGCTATGATACCACTGTAGAGATTTGATGTCGTCATTGTTTGGCTCAGGTCACCTGCTCATTTTAGCCTTTGTTTTCTCAGATTTACACCACCAGGACAAAAGGGGAGCTAGCAACGGTTCTTTCCTTCTATCACTCACAAAGGGTGAAGGGATCACACAGAGCGATGGACGGAATGGACACAAAGAAGAGGGAGAGGATCACACAAAGCTTCGGAGCACAAAGCTCGAGTTTTTCTTCTCTCTTCCACGAAAGAACAAAGACAACGGTGTTTTATAAAGGGGGCAGTCGACATAGGGTTAAGCAGCAGAGAGGGTGTAATGTTTAGATGTGGGTTAGGGTAACTAAAAGGGCACTGTGCCTTTTTTAGTAACAGGCCATCAACAAGCCTATGGGCCAACTAATATCAACAATTTACAGTCTGAGAAATTTAACAATATCGTATAAAATATGGCAATGTGAGAGGCTAATGTTTGTGTCATTTATTTTATATCTCTGTGCGTACCCCATGTGACTGCTTATAAATGTATCACTAGGATTTTGAGGGAAAAATGAATCAATATTTTAAATTGAAAATTTTATGCATCCTAGATGGATTTTATGTCTAGGATGCATTAGACATCCTAGATAGAATTTTGACCCACTTCTGTCTAGGATGCACTTCCTTTTAGGATGCACCATACTAGATTAGATGAAATGCCATTTAGGATAATCATTCTAGATGGATACGTGAGCATCCTAGATGGATTTTACTACCTAGGATGTGCATATTTCTACTACCACCATGATGGTTATGTTCAACCCTCTACAGCTAACACCACCCTCACTCTGCCGAACCAAACACACACACACACACACACACACACACGCGCGCGCGCGAGCGCGAGCGCGCGTACACACACACACACCCTACCTCGAATTGGACCCCACCTCAAACCGTTGGTGAGACTTACTAATTTTTTTTACTTGCAAAATAGGGAAAAAAAAGTTCACTAAAGGGGTGTATTCGTACTTGTGTCAATGCTAGAAGGCTATACTTACACAAATAGAATTATTGGGGATCTATAAACAATTGAGCAATACTAAGACGGTTTATTCACAATTAAGCCATTCATGATTTTTATTTTTACTAGATTTTATGCACATGCAACACACGTGGTTAAATACCATGATTAAATATTTTGGTTATTTCCTTACTAAAATTTGTTCATCGGTTTTACTTTGATGGATTTTGCTCACTTATGTCTCTCAACTTTATGTTTCAGGGCTTCTGAATTACAACTGACTCAGATTATATTTCAAATGTTACCATTGAAACAAGAAAATTTTATTTAAACTGGATTCTTTTTAGTGTGCTGATTGAACGTTGATCCGAAAGTACTCTAGAGGGGGGTGAATAGGGTAATTGCTAATTTAATCTGATTATGATGCCAAATTAAAACTTATTAATGAAATACCCTAGCAAATATGATGTGCAACAAATATATGCAAGGATATAGAATTAAACTAAGGGTGATATAAACATAAGACAAAAGGCAATATGAAAATATACAAGAGAAAGTGCGCCAATGCCTAACACAAACACAAAGCAAATGATTACGGAGTTCGGTCGACCCACGACCTACGTCTCCACTCCTCACACGCGAGGAGATTCTCTACTATAACAATGAAAAATCACTGCACAATCGGTTTTCAACGATCATCGATAAATGTTTACAATTTATACAATTGACAATACATAATACAGTCCACTAAGTGTTGCCCTAGCCCACGTAACATTCCTCAAGTACTTAGATTTACCACATCTCTCTAGGCTTTACTACCAACACCACTCCTCTTGGAATTGACCACGCCCCTCGCTAAGCACTTCTCTAGGCGTCCTTGTGTATTACAATGTGTTCTCTTAACAATAAGGTACAAATACAAATGATTTTTTCTCTAACAAGAATGAGAACGAAGTTTAGCTCACACTCAATGAATTATACCCACAACCCAAATAATACAATATATGAAAATACTTAAGCTCAATGGTTGTGCGTGAAACAATAAGTAAAAAGAAGTTAAACTCAAATAATTCTAGCTTATGAAATGAGAATCAAAATATAAATGCTAGAAGAAAAGAGTTTAAGAAACTTCTCTAAACAAAGAGAGATGATGATTTGAGAATGCGCTCCACAAAGTTGAAAGTGAAATTCTTCTCTTTGTGAAACTTGCTTCACATTAACAAACCCACAAAAACGTGGAAACAAACTGATGAAAACTCTTGTAAAACCCTTTAAAAACTTAGCAAAGAAAATTAGGGGTTCAAAACCTTTTATAGCCTAAAAAACTACAGGAAACAAAAACAATCAGTCAACTGATATACTGTTCAGTCGACTGATGAGCTGACCATTGGCTGATTCTAGGAAACTATCGGTCGATTGAGCAGAAACTTTTCGGCAATGCAAAAACACTTCATCAGTCGACTAATGAATAGTATCAGTCGACTGAAAACATGCACAATCCAGTTTTAAACAGAAAATATAATTTACAAAGTGTGTTTCAAAATAGCAAATAAATTCCAAAATTTATGAAACTTTGGGAAATGTTTATATGCATGAATATAAACATGTTAGAAGAAATTTTTTTGAAATATCATTTCCCGTTTGTGAAAATTCATCATTTTGTAAAATATCAAAAATACGAGTTTGATTAAATACTTGATTTTGAAAAAACGATTTTAAACACGTTTGAAAATTCTTTTGAATGGATAATAGACTTTGTAAAAGATGTAAAATATTATTGTTAAGTCAATAATCCAAAGACTCGATATTTTCTCAAAAACACTCATATTATAATAAAAACGAGAAATACGTGTGTATAAGAATTGAGCTCTAAGCATAACACATAAAGTATAACTCCTAAACTAATATACCCAAGTTGATGATCTTTAATAAGCTCGTCTTGGTTGCGGATGAAGCGATGATGAATCTTGACTTGAATCGCGATGAATTCATTCCTATTTTTCTTCCAACCTCCTTTGAATATCATCATGAAGGTGCAAGTCCAACCAACCTCCAATAGAGGATCTTTGTGCAGAATACCTAACAAGCAAACACAAACACTCAACAAACGATATTAGGAGTTATTTGTTAATCATAAAAACTAGATTAGCTAGTAGGCTCATAAACATGAGATCTAACAAACTCCCCCTTTTTGATGATGACAAACAAACTTCACAAAGAGTATATAAATATGCATGATACCAAATGAATATACACTTTATAATCCTCATGCATAAAACCAACACAAAGAGTATATAAATATGCATGATACCAAATGAATATACACTTTATAATCCTCATGCATAAAACCAATAAGAAGCAAAAACAAGATAT